ATAATACTGATTATTAACTTACGTTAACTGATTGGTTGGTTGAACTGACAAGCTTGAAATTCTACGGCACTGAGCATGCTTCCTTTGAGCAAGTTCAACCTTAATGCCTCTGAGAGCTCTCTTGACCTGATAATAACAAACAAAATCAGTTCCACTAATTTGGAAAGAGAAAACATTAAACCTGAAATATTAATATTGACCAGAAATACAACCACTACCACCCAAAAGAAAAAATAGTAAAATGCTTATAAGAATAGCATCTAGTCATGGAAATCCTATTTCTTCACCTTCAGTCTATATCGTAACCCTCAGATTTGTTCCATCTCAGCCTAAAATATTTAGTATTCTCTTTTCAACAAATTAATATAAAATCCTATTGTATGTCGTGAGGTATAGCTACCAAAAAATACCTTAAGACATTCTTGATCGAATAGAGGCCTTATCAGATCCTTAACATTGAAATACTATGCAACAAAGTCAGTAACAAGAATGGGTTCGTAGAATGCTCTGGCTGACATATCTGCAAAACAACATTCAGATGTCCGATTAAGAATGATCAACAACATCATAATTTTTGGAGGCCCATAATAACCTCAGCTAGTGCTATATATTTCATAAAATGGGAAGAGGGAGTGGAGAATTGAAAAACAAGAGTATTCTGTCTTCTCTTTAAAAAGTCAAGCCTCTACCATTTGTCAAGTTATACTCAGTTTTTTTTTAAAAAACTGTGATGTTTTTCTCAATTCTCACTATTCAATTCAGCCATTTGATATTCTACTCAAACCATTTTTTTGGGCAAGAAATTTTATTACCAAAATAAAGATAAAGTACAATGAGCTTAAGGCATGGACCTATAATTTTACTACCAAATTAAGACCGGTTTGTGGTCTACTCTACGCAAACCTTGTAATACTAGCCCACGTTCAAACCAATCACGTAAAGTAACAATAACAAGACTACAACTTGTGATCCAAAATAACAATAACTCGAGTTCATGAACAAATCAGTTCCTAACCTCAGTTTCAAACTGATCTCAACAATGTCAATGAAGCTGAGCAAGGAGTTCCTGAACATGTCAACCCTGACAAAGCATATCAAACTGGAGCTGGAAGCTTACCTGCCATTGATGCTGAGCAAGGAAAAGAAGTCATAGAGAACCTTAATGACAAATCAGCAAATGTGGGTTTGACATGTAAGCCTGTGCATCTGTCGACTAATTGTCACTCCACTGGGAAAGATGATAGTGTTAATTTGGAGCACTGACAAGAACCTTGCCCCAAGGTTTGTGTTTTTAGCATGTTATAGTTTGATAGCACCTCTCTCTTTCTATACTAGTGGGTCAAAAACTACTGTCTTCCTGTATATTTTTTAAGAGCAATAATGCAGTGAACCAGAAGATATGTCTAAAGATAAGCTTTATGGCTTTGTTTTATCTTACAGCACATGATTGTGTCATGCCATACAATTTTTTTTATATATTTTTCATGGATGGAAAAATCAGATCTTGCCCCATTGTACTTTTCACGTGTCTTACTTGATGCCCTGACTCTAGGTGGGGACCAAATTGGAAAGCAAACTTGCAAAGCCCAGATTGAAGTCTTCCACTCAGGTTTAGAGAAATGTTTCTAGTGAGCCATCTAAATGCTCTGCAAAGAAACATATTAGATCAAAAAGCGAAGACTCACAGAGCACAAAACAGAAAAACACTCATCGCACACAGCCATTCTAACCACACGTTGGGTATGCAGAACTTCAAAACCAGAGGCAAGTATTTGTTTATGATCTATAAGTACCTCTGAATATACCGAAGTAATGGTTCCAATAGGATGTTGCCCTGGCCCAAGTTAATGTTCTTAAAATGACAATTATGCATTTTGTTTTTTTGTTTTTGTTTCATTGATATTTTTAAGTAGCATTCCCTTATTTTGGAATATTGTTCATTTGTTCTTCCCTCATGTTATTGGCTGGTATTCTTAACAGGATCCTAAGAGTTCAAAGTCAAAAGTTATTCATGATAACAGAAGGTATTTATTCCTTTCGAATTTCTGCACAAGGAAAATCTATATCTGCAATGGGTATGCTGCTAAAAAATACTTCTCATTAGCAGTGAAAAGGAATTGAAGACAAAAAAGGTTGTTCATGAACCTAATAGCCTTCTGCCTCAGAGAAGCTTGTTCCTAAAGCACGTCAGAATGCAAACAGGTTTATGAAACATCATATGCAATGCTTCATTACTTGGATGTTTTGACCTTCTGAGGTTTGACATAGAGTTACTATTGTACAGGCCCAAGCAGGTTGAGAATTCAACTAAGTCAGGCATGAAACAAAGCTTGGCTGTGTTCAATTTCAAAAGTGAGGAACGGGCAGAAAGGAGGAAAGAGGCAAGAACTCATGCTGTTTTATTAATTTTTATTTTAAAAAAAAAAGAAAAGGAAAAGAATCATGGCTGTGACTTGTTCATTTGTCTGTTTTCCTCTTTCATCTTAGTTTTACATGAAGTTGGGGGAGAAAAAGCATGCAAAGAAGGCCGGGACAAATCAAATTCAAGCAAATAAACTGGTACATAAATTCAATGCAATAGTTATCTAAAGTGTACGGTTATGTCACAGAACCTACAGTGCTAAAGGAGAAAGGATAGATAACAAAAGGATGCAAACTTGCAGGGAATTAGTTTGTCAATGAAAAAATGCCAATATGAGTAATTGCATGAACATTATGACCAATTTACCTGAATTTGCACCTTCTTAACTGCCTCTGTAAGCAACTGACACCCCACAATATCCTGCACAAACCAGAGAAAGTTCTCACCAGCGATTTTATTTTTCTAGGAATAGCAATTACATCAGTCAACATTTCAACATTTGAGTATAAGGAATAGTTTAATCAGTTTATGCCTAAGTAGCGAAGCAAAGTTGATAACTAAATCTATGCAACGACTCACCCGGAGTCTGAAAAATAACTTGTGTAGCTGTGTAGCTCTCTCATTATCAACTTGGGGAATTATAGATTTGAGCAATTCAGCAAATTGCACTCTAACTTGACACTCAGGTTGGCTACCTTTTGTGCATTTAGTATTCAACTTCTCTAGTACTGAATGTTGGTGTTGGTTGCCGAGAAACTGCTTTTCCATATCTGGGATGTTGGAAGGGTTTTCTTGAGAAACCTGGATCTCTTTAGTTTGAAGGAACTGGACAGAATACTAGCTCATATTAGAATATCTGTAGTCTTCATAACTACAGATATTCTTACAAAATTATAAGCTAGTGTTTGCATGTTATCTTGTGAAGTTGTTATCTGTAGTCTTCATAACTACAGATATTCTTACAAAATTATAAGCTAGTGTTTGCATGTTATCTTGTGAAGTTGTGAGCAGTATTCTGTCCAGTTCCTTCAAACTAAAGACATCCAGGTTTCTCAAGAAAACCCTTCCAACATCCCAGATATGGAAAAGCAGTTTCTCGGCAACCAACACCAACATTCAGTACTAGAGAAGTTGAATACTAAATGCACAAAAGGTAGCCAACCTGAGTGTCAAGTTAGAGTGCAATTTGCTGAATTGCTCAAATCTATAATTCCCCAAGTTGATAATGAGAGAGCTACACAGCTACACAAGTTATTTTTCAGACTCCGGGTGAGTCGTTGCATAGATTTAGTTATCAACTTTGCTTCGCTACTTAGGCATAAACTGATTAAACTATTCCTTATACTCAAATGTTGAAATGTTGACTGATGTAATTGCTATTCCTAGAAAAATAAAATCGCTGGTGAGAACTTTCTCTGGCTTGTGCAGGATATTGTGGGGTGTCAGTTGCTTACAGAGGCAGTTAAGAAAGTGCAAATTCAGGTAAATTGGTCATAATGTTCATGCAATTAGTCATGAACAGTCTAGCACCTAAGCATAGCATTCTTGCATCAAGCAGACAAAGTTCGACAAAAACAGCAGCGAACTGTCAAATTTATCTAGTGATAGCATGCACATTGGACTACTTGCAGCTGCAGCTCATGCTGCTGCTACTAATAGCTGTTTCACTAATGCTGCTGCCTTACAAATCAAATGAACATAAACCACGAACTAGTGATATTAGTACTTTTACCTTGATAGTTCTTCTTCTTCTTCTTCTTCTTATTCTTCTTCTCTTTCTTTGAAAGGTGAACCTATATTTAATAAGAGCAAGTATTGTAATTAATAAGATATGTTATTTGTCAAAAAAGCTTTGATTTAATACCAGAACTTGCTGCCTCGTGAATAAAGCTTGGTGGAGGAAGTCCAAATCCTTCGTATAGCATTTCATAAGTTTCATCACCATCGTTCGAATCAGTTAGCCCGACATTCACATTGTGTGGCACAGGCGATGACAAATTCTCCCCATGAAAAATCCAACTGGTGTAACTTGGAAGAAACCCGTTGATCATTAAATATTCCCCTAACAGGCCTTTCTCCACCAATTTGACATTACGACACCGTTTACATGTGCATGTGACTTCATTCAACAACGGCTTATTTTCGCATGCAAATTTAATAAATTCCTTAACCCCTTGTATGTATTCCGGGTGCAACCTATGTTGATTTATCCAACTTTTATCCATCTGACTCCGTCTTACACTACAAATGTCACTGCCAAATCAACAAAGTTTAAAATTACGATTCCATTTTAATTAATCTCAACCTCAATTAAGTACCTTATAATGCATGCGACATGACATCATTCACCTCTAACTGGTCTCTAATATGTTGGTTCATCCTACTTTCCCATTCAGGAATGCACGGTCTATATTGTAAAAAGCAGTTCATACCGCTTTGTTCATCTCTAACAAAATTTCGGCAGCATCTCCCCATGGTTCTCCAAATACACGACATAGACTAAGTGTACTGCTACACCTTGTCTAGTATGCACTCAGAGAACACAAGGAGTTGCTACACGAAATCTCTACGAGATGGACTATCAGCAGTAGAACTACTAATTACAATACAGACTTGTGCTCCTGAATCAACCTCATCTCCCAGAATGAAGAAGCTCCCTCACGTTTTGAGGAAAATCCGCTCCAAACCAACCATAATAAGGATTAAAAGCGACAAATCTCATGCCTCCTCACAATGAATGAGAAGCTGACTCGGGGATTCCCCATCATGATTTCACGTCCAACGCCAATTACTATGGATTTGCTTCCTACTTCCTCCTAATCAAGTTATTATTACTAGCCAAAATCTTTCCATGTGTTGTAGTCCTCACAAAGAAAGCAAAATTTGAAGTAGCTTTGGTCCCCCGCACCGTTTCACCCTCCTCCAGCACCTCTCCCTTTCCCTCTCTCCCTCTCCCTCTCACTCTCAGTATCTTTAGACTCATCAAAAATTAAATCTTCCGGGTGCATTATTTTTACACTAGAATTTGTTGTACCTTTGTGTCCATATCACATCATTTCTCATGTTCATATATATGCTTCATGGCATCCAATACATCTACTACCATGTTCATGATGTCTCATGTCTTTGATAGTTGAAACATTTCAAAGCGTCTATGTATATCATGGATATTCTCTTACGAAATCAGGAAACCCACAATCATATTATATTTGTTCTTCATGATTCTTGGTTTATTTAAAGACTTTAACTGGCATACCAGGTGATAGAACCACCAACAGATGTTTTTGCCCACCAGCCCCAGGTTCATCTTCATCATCCCATACCATCTGGAGAAATTTGTCCTGTTGCTAGTCCATTATCCCTTGCAACCCAGAACAAGACTCGAATGCGTTGGACGCCAGAACTTCACGAAGCCTTTGTGGAAGCTGTCAATAAGCTTGGTGGTAGTGAACGTGTGTATCCCTCTCAGTTCTGTTTTATTTTTCTGTCATTCAAGTAGTTCAAGTGATCAAGTTAGTTCTAATTGCATTGACTCATAATTTTAACTCACAGGAGCTACACCGACGGGTGTCCTGAAGCTCATGAATGTGGAAACCCTGACCATCTATCATGTAAAAAGCCACCTCCAGGTATGGATATTTTTTTTTTATTGATTCTGCTATTTCCAAGTTGATTTTGACATTGCTCAACTTCATTGGATATATATTTCTTTAAATTTCAGAAATATAGAACAGCCAGATACAAACCAGAGTCTTCAGAAGGTATAAGTAATTGTGTCCTGTTTATTTATCTATTTATTTTTCTTTCACGTGGAAGGAATCCTTTTTACATCATGGGTTGCTAATTTTACATCTTTATACCACTAAAGTCATGCCTCATAAGTTATTAAACTTGTTTAACGCCATAGCAAGCTGAAATATCATTCATATTTGCGCATTTTGCTTATGCTTGTTGCTAGCCTGCTTTTATTGGTTGTGTTATCTGTTTCTCTTGTATGAAAGTGCAGAAGTTTGTATTATATGAAATACACATCTTATCATGATGTTATTTGTTTTATGCTTTTCTTTTTCTTATTAGACACTTCAAGGATTTCCAGTGAAATACATGAGTGTAAAACAATTGTTTTCTCTCTTCACGCTGCAGGAATGTCAGAGAGAAATTTGACTCCTATTGAGGAGATCACATCTTTGGATTTGAAAGCGTAAGTTCGTTTATCTATCTTTCTTTACCTGGAATGTTACTCAAATAACATCATAGTATATAATTTACATTTTCCCCCCTTGTCGAGGGAACCATCTATCTCTCTCTATATATATATACAAAGAGGAAAAAAATGCTCCTTTAAATTGCCCGCTTAAGAACAAGAGGGTCCTTTCCAATTGGCATCAATGCAAATGATGTCCAGGATTGACTTAGAAGATGGTGCATAACACTCCTATTTTGGAGTCGCCTCTTGGGCTTGGAGCCCAAATAGGCAACCCGTAAGATAGGCCGTTAGGTTCAAGGTTTCAAATAACTAACAGTATCAAAATATATATCAGTATCAATGATATAGTCATATATCAGTCAATATCAACTGTTATATTCCAAGTTTGATCATAAAATGGCCTTGCTAATAAATGTATTGACTACTCTCTTAGTAGGTTTTGAATTTTGTACCTACACTTGTCAACCTCAAAGTCTTGGATTAAGGATGGATTAGCAAGGCACATTCTGAAGCTTGGCTCTCCAATGAATTTTTGGTATCTCATAGATTGAAAAAAAAAGTTAAAAAAAAAAATTATTCATATCATTATTTATAATAAATTAACCCTAGTTTATAAAGCAAAAACATATAAAATAGGAAAACTAAATCAATATGAAATAGGGAATGTAACTATTGTAGCATATTCTATTCTAAACCTACATTTTTCTAATCAACTATAGATTTCAAAATAATAAAATTATGATTATGAATTTCCCAAAATCTCGACTACATCATTCTCCACTATTTGAAAAAATTCATCATCTAATTTCTGTTGCTTAAAACCACTTGGCATGATTGCGATTATCTGCATCCACCTTATATTTCAGTTTAATTTTCTCAAACTTAAATTTCAAAAAATCTTCAAAAATTAAATCAAATTGAATACTTATGCTCTGTTTGAGTAAGTAAAAAATATTAATCAGAGAGCTAGACAATCTTAAATGTTAATCCCGAATACAAAGGAAAGCAAGCATTGTCTCTTACAGTTCAGCAACAGAGAGCTAGACAGTCTTCATTTTTCCCAAAAACCAGAAATAGAGCGAGACAGAGAGAGAGAGCGAGTACCGATTACAGTTCAGAAACAAAGTAGACTATTCAATGGAGGTTGAAATGCGAGTAATCGACGGGTCAGAGTTCAGATCTGAATCTTCGAAATCGCTTCAATGGAGCTTCGAAATCGCAGGCGATGGAGCTTCAATCTGAATCTTCGATGAAGCATAGATTTGAAAGTTCGATGGAGCTTCGATCTGAATCTTCGATAGAGCTTAGAGAGGGTTGAGAGAGAGAGACAGAGATCTGTCCGTATGTATTAAGGGTTGAGAGAGAGAGAGAGAGAGAGAGAGAGAGAGAGAGATCTGTCCGTATGTATTAAGATTCAAAATAAGGTTTCGGAGGTGCGTGCTATTGTTCAAAAAAAAAAAAGAAAAAAAAAAGAGGCGCGTGTGGCTACCGCATTCAGAGGCGTCTTTAAACGCCTCCCATTATAAAACGGTGTCGTTTTGTGAAATAGAATAGGCGGCGCTTTATAAAACGCCGTTAAATACTCATAACAGTGACGTTTAAATAAACGTCGCTATAAAAACGCCACCACATCCTCTTTTTCCTGTAGTGGAATTGCTCATTATTTTCAAAATTACAAATACTCATTGTCAGAAAAAGTAAAATTCCTAATTATTCTTTTATTCAACAATAAAATTATCAAAATTTTTAATTAAAATTTATTTTTGACATCATTAAAATTATTAATTGACCTAATGATTTATTAATAAAAGTGAAAATTTGTTACTAGGGTTTAGACAGCACAGAGAAAATTACAAATTAAAGTGAATTGCGAGTAAAATTACACAGCTGAATCTCTAAATCACAGAGCTGAACTGACAGAGATAACTAGGGTTTAGACAGCACAGAGAGCGAGAGAGAGAAAGGGGGAGAGAGAGAGAGTAGCTCACCGATCTGAATCGATTTTGAGAGAGAACTTCGAAATGGCTCGGATGAATCACCGATCTGAATCGATTTTGAGCGAGAACTTCGAACAGTGCAGAGAGGGCGAGAGAGACGGAGAGAGAGAGACCGCGAAAGTGAGAGTGAGTGAGAGCGCGAGAGTAAGATTGAGATTTTCGCTTATACTGCTTATCATATTCAAAATAAAGGTGAAACAGGAGAGAAGCCGGGGTCGAACAAAAAACCATCCAAGGCGTTTAAAAAACGTCTTTGATTCTTGAAACGGCATCGTTTCAGTTACAGAAAAACAAGACGTTTCTAAAACGCCGTTAAATATTGGAAACAATGGCGTTTTGAAAAACGCCGTTAAAAAAACGCCGCCTAACCCCATATTTCCTGTAGTGACGGGTTATGTATAACATTGTGTTTGTTTGTTTGTTTGGTTCTAAAAAAAAAATAAATAAATAAATAAAACCTAAGATGGTTTTTCGAAAAAACACTTAAGGTGGTGGAAAATTATATATGAGAGTGGTTTGATGGATGAATTATTGAATTGTCTTGGGTAGAGGTGGGGGAAAAATCGAAATAAAAAATTGATTGAATTGGAATAAATCAATTATGTTTAGTCTGTTTTTTAATAAAAATTCTTGTAAATGACACTTTCCTAATAAAACTATAGGAGAGCGCCACTTCTCCTAAAGTTACAGTGTCATTCTTCCAATTCCTTCGACTTGGTTCATTCAAACAACCTAGTGTACTCTACTTCACATCATTTGTGGGAATAAAAAAAGACTATTGGAATTTCAGACACTATTTGGTGGGGGTAAAAGGGTAAATATCATGCAATTTTTAGGAGAACAACGTCGTAGTGTAACTTGAAATATTTAATACAATTCTTTCAGTGGAAGTTTTGGATAACATCAAAGTTGAAGATTAGAGTTGAATAACATAATTTCTCCAACAATTTTTGTAATTAAATGTTATTTAAATGAACACTTTGTTTTAAAATAAACAGTCTTATTGCAACTACATCATTTTATATACAATATATATATATATATATATATTTATTTGTGAATCATTACTCAAAAGCAAATTAGGTTGCCAACCCTATATATAAAAGTCTTGGATCATGTTGTGTATCTTGAATCATAATGGCTCCTTTTGTCTAATTATGCTGGAGTGAACATTCAAACTGAGATAATGTAAACCCATAACTAAAATTATACAAACACAAATTTTATATTGAACAATATGGTCTTTTGTAATTTTTTTATTTCAAGCCAAAATACCTTTAACTGAAGAGAATATAAATTTTTAATTTTTAGATAAGTTTGCACATGTTTTTTTCAAAGAAATTTTGGTCAATAATTTGGCAATGACTCATAATTATAAAAATGTCACTAACATGTCATTTTAAATAAGTTTTATGTACAAAATCCTAATTGTGAAAATCCTTTTTTCATTTTAAAATTTTGTGAACTCTCTGGAAAATTCCCTTTTTTTTCTTCGCAACAGCAATTCGAATGCATAAAATAGATGACGAACAAAAGTTGAGGAGGTCATAAGACATAAAAGGACTAGTTATGGGGATATAAAAAGATTGGGTTATGTTTGAATGTGGTGTTTTTGTGATGCATCCTTGCAGAAAGCATGTCAGCATGGGTCAACACTCTTCAAACACTACTTCATATTATTCACAAGATTGACAGATATATACATACATCATATATACTTATGGATGCATGCATTCAAGATTATGTAAAAATGTCTTTGTTCATGCATGTGTGCTAGCAAGAGTGACTTTGTGCATGAATCCCATTACACATTGAACCTATTATGTATGTTTAGACTTCAATTATCTAGGGAAATCCTACACCCTATAACAATTGACGTAATTTTATCACAAAAATTTGCAATATTAATTACAAAAATGAGTAATTTTGCCACAATTGGCGTAACAAAAAATATCGTAATTAAACCACAAACTTTTGTTACACGAATCACCAAATTTTGAACATTTCGTTACACTAATTTGTGATGGGATTACGGTTTTTGTAATTGATATTATAAAATTTTATGATAAAATTATGTCAATTGTGATAAGATGCATATGGTATACACCCTTAAAAGAGTATGTACAATAGCATTTCCTAATTTTCTATAATCAGGGTTCAATTTCCCTAATTATGTGAGGTTGGACAAATCTTTTTTTAGTAACTTTTTCAAAAATCACAACAAAAAAAAAAAAGGGGAAAAATTAGGGATACTTACAATGGTATATGCAATGCAATGGCATGGAAATATAGAATGCAACATGGTCTTATACTAACATGAGAGAGCCTCAGCCACACTCACATAAGAGGCCGATAGATGAAAATGAAGTGCCTCGAAATGCGTGCACACAGGCACGCAAACCGAGGCAATGACATGCGCAATGCAATAATGGGCTTATACCAACATGAGAGAGCCTCAGCCACACTCACATAGGAAGCCATCAGATGAAAACAAAATAACTCGAAATGCGTGCACGCATGCACGCAAACCGAGGACCGACCCTCAGGCACCGAAATGCCACTCTAATGAGACATGGCAAAGACATGGAAAGTGATATGCAAACTTGCAATTTTTAGTAGCAAAATGAGGGGCAAAACAGCCCCGGAACGAGGCGAAATGACACCCGATGCATGGAATCTCTCCCGAAATGCAAATTAGACGCATAGAATGAACTACAGCTATACAAAGCATGCACAATTGGTATGAAAAGACAGAAGCAAGGAAGCCTCAAAATAAGCATTTTTACAGTACAAATCATGGCCAAACAGCAAGCAAAGATAGGGCAACAATGGCATGCAAAAATGACCCTAAACATGAGATTATGAAGCAACTTACAGCTGCTAACTCCAAATAGGTTAGGGCCCTTCAACAACATTGAAGAGGGGCCAAAAATAAGCCACTTTATAGAACTGTAAAAACCCTAAAAACAAACATAGATATGGCTAAGCTCTTATGCAAGAA